GCACATGTGGGTCAATTTATTTTTGTTGGGGGGGGGCACTAAAATGCATCCCACATATTGTTGAAAGGAATTCAATCTCATTGTTTTTCACAAGAGCGCCCAGTGAGAGATAAGATATCTAGGCTGGCATGAAATCTGGTCTCATTCTTTATACAAGCTGGAACATGTTGACAAACATGTGCCATATGAACAAGGAGCTCGATTTTCCAGAAGCCTAAATTTTAAACCTAAAGACAAACAAACTGCGTACCACTTTAATAATTTGTGTGTCAACTTCGTTTTTCTGTTCGATAAGAAATTTATTATGTCTTCCAACACTTCTCTATGATAATTTTACACGATCATACTTGTATTTTTTTAGTTCAAAACGTCAGAGTGCCTGGCATTTCTATCCTAGTACAATCTTTGTCAATTGCCAAAGGGGGTCAACTTATTACCGCTGCAAAAAGTTGTGCTGGGATCTAACCTTCAGGTCCTCTGTCTTGTCGGATTTGCAAAGCGTGTTAACCACTTTTTAATCCTTAACATTCTCGGTTAGTCAGATTGGTGTAGTGTTTCTTTCCTCGCCTTCCACCTCTGTGGTCCGGGTTCGAATCTGGCTCGGTCCTCATGTGGATTGGGTTTTCAGTCCCTACCGGAGTTTGTGGGTTTTACCCGCAATATTTATCAGGGGTTTTCCTCCCACTTCTGACACTGAACATTTCTTCATTATCATCCTGTAATTGATGCTAAATGCGTTGTTGGATGAACAGATATAAATAAAATCTAAATTCATCTCAAATATTGAATCTTAAGTTAACAGAGTTATTTCATTATTTTCCAACACACTTTCAGATCTCCTGCTTCAGTGTTTTTCAACGGCAGAAAGTTTGAGCTACACTTTTGCAGGAAAAATACATGAATTTACGTACAAAGACGAGAAAGTACATATACCATAGTAAGTGACATATTTGGTTTGGTATTGGCATTTGAATGATGGGACCACATGACCGTGATCACGTGATCAAACCCTTTGTGTAATATTTCCAAATAGGTAAATTTTTCAACATTAGGGGGACATCGGTCATTAGGGAGACATTTCAATGTCTCCCTAATGCTCCAACTACCAAAAGGAGGAAAATTTTTATTGTCCACATCTTGAGAGATGATAGATTAGGGTCTGAAAGGAAAACATGCAAAGTTTGGTTAAGATCGGATTAGGGAATATTGAATTATGGGACGGTAAAGTTTGAAAAAGTTTGTGCATGTTCCTATGGGAATGTCTCCTAAGTGACCCATTTTCGGTAATATTAATTAGTTCAAGTACATGTACATTGCAACTTGGACCTGTGGATATGTACATGTATTCAGACATGTCTTGTAGCTACTCACACTATCACATGTTTATCTTTGTTCAACTAGGGTAAAGCCTATAAACTGTTCTCCAGGGCAGCCTTGGGGAAGAAAACAATGAAGATATGTTCAGCTTTACAAGTAGGATAAAGACGGACAAAATATTCGGAGGAGAACTCATGGAATCAACCAGGATTGAAATCGAACCTGGGCCGCAGAATTGGAAGACAAGGAAAGTACCCGTACCGTTGTGCTTACCTGACTCCATAAACCCTAACTGTACACTAATGACCGGAATAAAAGTAAAGACACCAGCTATCCCGACGACCCTGAAAGGTTGGTGCCACACTCAAAAGCAACCTTCACATCGTTGTAAATCAAAATACACCATCTTGCTAACAAGGCTACAATGAATACATTTGTTGCTGTATATACAGTCGTTTAATACTTTCTTACTTTAACCCTAACCCTACATAATACTACAAATTACTAATTGCAGTAAAATGTAGTAACCAGTGCTGCCACTTGTAAGAGGACATGACCGTATTGTTCTCTGAAGCCATGAACTACATGTACAATGTACATTAGAAAAGACAATTTACCATACAGTGCTGTGGCACTATGAATGCATGGCTTTATTGTTCTCTGTATGAGTAACAATGGAAGTAACCTAGCCAGAAGTAGTAATCCGTAGAGCTAGGTCCTTCAGGCTCAGGCTATTACTTAGTATTTTGTAGTACTAAGTACTGTAAGCCAAACAACATGCATCCTTCTTAAGGTGGTGTAGAATCATTAACAACTTCTCGAAAGGACAGCTCGATTGTAAAAATCATATGATGTACCCATTTCAAAATTAAAGGATGATTTATGAATTATGGACAGCACAGTGGTTAGGACGGACGGTGACTCCCAAAACAAAAGGAATGTGATATCCCATTATTGAACCACACTTAAATAATCTGAACAGCTTTAAAACAATGACACACTGCCAAAAGCCTCAAAACAAAGATGGAGGCAGGAAATGATGGGATAAAAGGAACCAAGGACAAATAGGCATGAACTGATGGAACAGAAAGATGTTCAGTCTTATAGTTCAATACAGAACACTTGGTTAAATAAATCATATTTCAGACAGGCGAGAAGCTCAGGAGAACGCATTAGTTTTACACACATGACCAACTGTATAAGTTTTACCATGGTTCTACCATCTTTATCGTGCATGTCCTTATGGAGAATGTCATGTACATGTAAAATTCTCAGATTGAGTGGAAGGGAAGAGTTCCTTGTACGGACATAACTAATTTCCCCTTGCAGTCGTTTGGGCCCCATTAGCCATCAGAGAGTGACAAAATTTCCTAAAAAGGCAAATTTAGCACTGAAATGTTAAACTTTTACCACTGGATCAGATCTTGGACCCAACCACAATCTAGAGGCAACACCGGACTATGCATACACCGCTCGATTGTGTTATGATGGTGTAATTTTTAAGCTATTTTTAGATCATGGTTTGCAGATGACATCGATCCCTTTATTGGCCAAAAACTTCAACACAAATTGCTGTGATTGATCAAATTTACAAAAATCATCCTATACCACATCTAAATGAAAATTTCCTTTCATTTGCTATCTCTAAGAGTTGATCAAGGAGATTTTTTGGTTAAATCTTGCACTGGAAGTGTTGAATTTAGAGGATAAACGAGTTCAACTTTACTGATGAAAAGAGCTTGGCCAAAGTTACTTTATGCATACATGTATCTTGTTATTATGCCAAAATCTTGCGGGAAAATGACATCGTTATCACGTGATTTGATAAAAATGACATCACTTCCACGGATGTATCTTAGATTTCATTAATGGTCCTTAATGTATGATGTGTATTTCCTTAAAACTCAACATCCACAATTGCACATTGTGCAGTTCACGGCACAAAAGGCCGAATGGTACAGCACATAAAAAGTTGCAACACATTATACGCCTAGACTGAAATTCTGAATGACATCGACATGTCTAAAGTCATCATCATTCATGCACATCACAATCACGCCGGAAAGCGTCGACCCTTAACACTCCCACCAAGCTACTGAACCTCACGCTATTTTACTTACAATTTCTCCATTTTGGCTCGCCATTTTTGCGAAACTGTGTCCTGTGTCAGCCGGCTTTTGCTTGAATTTGTCGCAGGATCAACAGTGCGCTGCCATCTTCCCTGATAGCTGGTGCCCACTCTTCTTGGTCATTTCTAATTTGAGTAATTATACCTGGGACCAGCGAATATGCGGCAGCACTATTCATCGCATCCATGCATTCATTTGAACCCGAAAACTCAAGTCTTCATTTTAATCATTCTCTTGATCCAGGAAATACGCAATTTTCAAACAAAATTAAAGGAGATATTTTAAAGATGACTTACTTAGAGGTCACCTAGCTCATTATTTTGAAATATGCTATGCGATGCTAAACCTGTCTAAAGTATTGTGCAAAGTGTCTTTTTTCTTCTTTAGTTTTAGAAATTTGTCGGCGGTGTTCACAAACATAAGTGGGGAAAATGACGGGGAGGTTTTCTTTGGAACAAACGCATCCCACTTTCAGTTGAAAATATCTATTTTAAAAGTATTCAATGGAGGCAGGGGTAGAGGTGTTGCTACATTTGATTAGTGCCTCCTGGAAACTGGACTTAGTACAAGGGTGATTATGAGGGATATAATGGAGCTGGGCGTGGGGAGGCGGGGTGAATGAGGAGGCATATTTCGTCTCCTCTCAGACCGTAAACAGCTGAACGGCCGCTACAGAAAAGGTGTTCACTTGTAAAAGCCGTTTGAGATGCGAGTCGAGTCAAACATGCAGTGCAGTTTCTTATTCTTTTTTAAAATTTACTTTTAAATGTGATGTTTATTCATAGCAGGTGTATCTATATTTTAATCTCATTGTGCTAAAACGATTTAACAAAAACTTTACTCCTTATAACATTTCGTGGTTTTACTCACGAATGGCGCAAATGCCGCCAGCCCGAGGAAGATTGGAAAGCCCCGCCCCATGATGTCCGTGAATGTAAGCCTAGACATATTACAACTCAGTTAATAAGTCTGCAAATAGATACCGTCGGGACATTTGGCACCAACAGGAGATCCCCGAACATTTGGAGTTTAAACCAATCAAGTCCGCAAATGTTTATAAAAATATGCGGGCGCGATGGGCCCCTAAACTTTTTACGTCATGGCAACTTTTGCAATATTTGTACCCATGTCATGCATGCTTTATCAGTTCATTGGCTGTGTCGGTTTGTTGGAAACTAGAGAAAAACTATCTAACGTATCCCTATCGTAAGTGGCAGTGGCGTAGCTAGGATTTTACTAGTGGGGCCGGGCACAAAGGGGGTACCAGCATCTTGTGGGGGGGCACCAGCTTTCCGTGAGGGTTTTTTGGGGGGGCAAGTTTTTGTTAGCCTTGTTCAATATCCATTCATTATTTTTTTTAGGGGTGGGCAGGAATTTGTGTGTGTGTGGGGGGGGGGCGTCCCCCCGTGGCTACGCCGCTGAAGTGGGCAGATGGTCCTGCATGTGTGCAGCTGAAGAGTGGAACTGGATATGGGAAGATTATTGAGGGCGCCTCATTATCATGACGGTGACCAACTCGGCGCGGTCCGGTCGGTGATCATAAATGGGTGAAGCAAGCGCTACACTACGTGCAGAGGTCGCTCTTTCATTGATCTGCGCAGGTTGCATTGTTGCAATTTAATTAGCGCCAGCGCCAGGCATGCAACAACAAACAGTGGAGTTAATCTGGAGGACGGAAGTAAAAGGCCGTTTTGTAAGTATCGTGTCAGCAAATCAAGATGTACAGTTGATACAGGTTGTGTGTTTAAATTTACAGTGTCAATGATTCAGTTCTTAAGTGTTGACGCGATCGTCTTTGCATCATGATTGGGATGATTGCACTTGGACTTTTTTGGAACGAGCAAGCCGAACTTGCTGCACTATGAGCTATGGTTGCATGCTCAGCCCCACCCACGGGGCGGACGTGGGACCCCAAAGTTCTGGGGCAGTGGGGGTATGCTCAGCCATGACAAAATGACAGCACAATGCCTTCTTGGCACGATCATGGAAAGAATTCCATGTAGGCCCCACAGACATCGTTAATTTTCCCCTGCCATGGTAAATGATGGTTTATCATCAGGGAACAGGTCAACTTGAACTTGTACCTTGGACAACTCGTTCCGTGAACAACCCGTACTATCAACTCAACATAACTGTACCAACTTGT